TTTAGGATTTGGGGGTTTAGGGTTTTTCGTCCAGGGTCCGAAGCTGGAGCTTTCTGCCAGCGACCCACCAAAAACCCCAACTCCAAACACTAGACCCAATAATTCCCCAAACAGCTTTAGCTAAGGGGTTCTAGATTTGTTTAATAGAAAATGATTCTGTAATTCTCATTTGGATTTCTCACGGCACTACTCTAAAAACCGCTACTTATTTGTCTCCCACTTGTCTCCCATTTGTCTCCCACTTGCTGTTTGGGGTCGAGGCTGGTATATTTTATATATATATATATATTATAAACCCAAGCATCCAGTAACACCTGTACTTTACGCAGTTCTTGACCACCACCCAAACACCCACGAAGACGCGGCCCCGCAGCAACAGGGTCCTCCGCCCCATCAAGACAACGCCGCAAAATGATCGACTTCCAGAACCCTAAACCATGATCACTACCGGAGAGACCCAAAGTAACCCCTAAATCGCAAGCCCTAAAGGAGAAGCCGCAAGTTCTAACGTAGGGGCCTTAATAATTAGACTATTACTAGGGTTTTGGGGCCCATTCTACTATAATCATAATAAGGAACAACCGAAATAGTATCGGTAATTATTTAGGCCCCTACATTTAATAAAAACCTAAGCCCTATAGATAAACCCTAAACCCAAGGCCCTAAAGCAGCAGCCCTGAGCTCTAACTGAAACCTAAACCCTACTGTGGATGACATAAATCCTGCATTACCTTAAGGACCCTAAACTATGGGAATTATGGTCTATTCCTGATTATGGGTAATGCAGGGAGTACATCATCAACCGTAGTTAAGCCCTAAACCCTAAACCCTAAGCCCTACCTAAACCCGAAACCAAAAGCCCTGAGCCCTAAGCCCTATAAACCCTAAACCCTGTAGGAGGCCGGCCGAGGTCACCATGATCACCGAGATGATCGCCGACTGACATTCAGGGCGGGTTAGGGTTTAGCGTTCAAGAGTTTAAGGGTTTAGGGTTTTGGGTTTTTGGGGTTTAGGGTTCAGGGATAGGCGTTAGGGTTCAGGGTTTAAGGTTTTAGGGTTAGGGTTTTATATAGGGGATGAGATAATTAGAATAGGGTTTAGGGTATAGTACACTATGATTATAATAAGGACCCCCGCGCACCCCCCCTCAAACAAACATGTTCTAAATATTAAGGCCCCTACATGAAGTCCAGGTGTAACCAGTGATTTCTTCAGCTTCGCCGTGTGGTGTTTGGGATGTACCGGGTCACGAAAAACCTTTCTTTTAAGCAAGTCTATAAGAAAATCATGCTAGGGAAACCTCAAAATGTAGGTCCATGCAGGTAGGTCTCTAAGTTCAAAATACAGGGCCATGAAAAATCCTAAGCCCTACACCACAAGCTGCAGGGCCATAGCATGCCGTAACCCCGCTGAGTAGTGAAACCAAGCAAGCTCGGGATCCAAAGAACACAAAGCCATACAGATGACAAACTACTAATGCAGGAGGGTCCATGCTCTGGCCTGTCAGGCTGCAGCGCAGCGTCTCTGCCAACATTCTCATAAGATGTCAGGAAAATGATGCACGGGCGCTTGCCGCCTTGAGCAAGGCTTTCTGATCGTCTGACACTTCTGTCACCATCAATTTGACGATTTCGTCTACAGTGCTGTCAGTCTGGAGCTGGGTGACTCGCGATGACATCGCCCTGCAAACTTCGCGCGACGTATACGAACGCAGTAGGAATTGAGACATTCGCAAAATGAGTTCTCCGATCGCCGTTGCATCGAGGGCAGTTTGCTGATTCTCAACACCAATGCAAATCTGCGTGCCTTGAGCATCACGGAGCAAAATACCTGATGCGCAGCGCATCCAATAAGCGCCGTCCGCTCCACCGAACCATCCGAGCCTGACCATGTCTCCCAATGTGCGGGCGGCCAGAGCCTTTAATGCAGCCCTTAACACTGAACCCAAAGCCCTGTAAATCCTTAGCCCGCAGCCCTAAATCCTACCTGCTTGGATTTACATCTTGAGGCATTCCCCTAAGACTCCAAATAGCTTCGGGCTTAGAGTTGAGGGTTCCAAATAACCCAAACTAGGTAATACAGTATCTATGTCCTCTAGCAAAAGTAGGTACTAGTCCCAACGGGTCCAAGTACTATTATAGTAGGTACTTAGTATAGCTATTTGGGCCCCAAAAGTATAGATTATACTAGTACTTGGACCCTTTGGGAGTTGTAGACTTGGAGTCTGAGGGTGAGGATAAGGCTCGAAGGAGCGAGATTCACTTAGTGGGCGGTAGGGTTTAGAGCTGGGCTAGAGCCCTAAAACCCTCAACCCCGGAACCCTAAACCCTGAACCCTGAACCCTAAACCCTAAACCCTAAACCCTAAACCCTACACCCTGAACCCTGAAACCCTAAACCCTAAACCCCTGAACCCGGCTCTTTCTTGAAGTCGCCTGCCAGCTCTGGCAGGCAACCTGAAGCCCTCAAAACAAGGAAAGAGTTTGGGGTTTAGGGGTTCATGGATCAGGGTTACGCAAGCTGAAGCCCTCAAAACAAGGAAAGAGCTTTGGGTTTAGGGGCTTTGGGATCAGGGTTGAGTAGGACTCCTGATCTGGGATGCCCAGCAACCTAGGATAAAAAAAACGGCCTCCCTTGTTGGGTATTGGGTGCATTTATTATGAAGAAACCCTGAGGTAGGATAAAAAAACGGCTTCCCTTGTTGGGTATTGGGTGCATTTATTATGAAGAAACCCTGAGGCTTCGAGAAGGGAAAGAAGGCCCACTGGGAGACCTACTGTTCATGACATAAACCCTGCAGTGCCTTAAGGACCCTAAACTACGGGAAGTATGGGTCTATTCCTTATTATGGGTACTGCAGGCTTTGTATCATCAACCATAGTGTATGGGGTTTAGGATGCAGGGCGAAGAGACGGGGGCTTACAGAGCTTCAGGTTCGAAACGAGTGGTTCAGATGCAGCTGCCAAAAGATGAATCAAGTGGTAGCTAAAAACCCAAATGTGTGTTTAAAGTATGTATGTACGTATGTATGT